TTGTACGTCATGGATCATTCTTGTTAGTGAATCATATCATAGGTATTTTTTCCAACAAAACTAATCATTGTTTAAAATGAGAAAAAATTAACAAAACATTTATTGAAACAAACATATAATATGAAACATTATGTTGATGTTAGTATTTGAAATGACAAAAAGAAGAAATTGTACGTCTTGAATTATTCTTGTCAGCGTCACATTCTTGTTACAAGCAACATAAGCTTTTTTTGTGCATGAAAAGATCAGGTTAGTTTGTTATATTTAAGAACTAAGAAAAGTTTTCCAAATTAACTATAAGTCTTCATTGTTTCACCAACCTTTTCATTTGAGCTTTAATATTAGTTATAATAAATTACTGATCATTGTCTCTAAATGATATCAAATATGTGTTTTAACATTAGTTATAATAAATTAGATCTTATTGGTTTGTTTGATATCGGTTTTTTTTTTGACAACATAATAATAAATTACTTTATGACAAATTGGATACCCAAACTGGTGGTGACGTTTGATATCGGTTATTCAAAATAAAATATGTAATAATTTTCACCATTTCAAACAAAATTGTTGCAATTGTATGAATTCGCATCGGTTAGATAATCAGATGGTCAAATACAACCGATCAGATCCACTAGTTTAATACTCTCTCCGTTTCAAAATGTAAGTTGTTTTGGCTAAAAGTGTGGATATTAAGAATCTACTTTTCTTCTAAAAAATATCATCTAATATATATAATAAAAATAATTTAACCAATAAAAAAAGACTGCAAATTACTATTGGTCACACAATAGTTAATAAAGTTAAAAAATACCTATGATTATCAAAAAACTTATATTTTGAAAAATAAAAAAACTTCCAGAACAATTTATATTTTGAAACGGAAAGAGTATGACAGATTCATCACTAATCCAAATCTTCTCTTTTTACTACATTTTTTTTCCTAAATTTTCAAAAGGATAATTTGCATTAAAAAAAACCTTAAAAAAACTATTATATATAAACTAACCAAAATCTCACTTTTTCTTTCCCTATCTTTTCCTATATCTCTAAGGTTTTTCTAG